AAAAAAAAAAAAAAAGTCACCTAACCAAAATAATTCCCTTTGCATATTTAAAAACTAACTTAAGCATAGCAAAGAACTTTCAACCCCATTTATCTAGTTTTGAAAGTGATCTTCATTCATCTGCTATTTTTATCTATATTCTCAATTTTTTTTTTTTTTTTTTGAGACAGACTCTTACTTTGTCAACCTCAGTAGAATGCTGTGACGTCATAGCTCACAGCAACCTCTTGGGGTCAAGCAATTCTCTTGTCTCAGCCTCCAGAGTAGCTAGGACTACAGACACCGGCCACAACAAAACCCGGCTATTTTTAGACATGAGAGGTCTTGCTCTTGCTCAGACTGGTCTTCAAACTTGTGCGCTCAGGCAATCCACCTACCTTGGCCTCCCAGAGTGCTGGAATTATAGGCATGAGCCACCAGGCCTGGCCTTATATTTTCAAATCTTTAAAGATTCTGGCAATAGAGATGATGACCACTGCAGTCACCATGCAATAGAAAGGCAAAGGATTCTCTAGATGCTTTGAGTTAGCTTAGGTACCCCTTCACTTCTCTCCAAAGTTACAAGACCTATTTGTGCCTCAATGAACTCATTATACCTCAACTATAAAATCAAGCCTGAGGCCAGAAGAACTGCCTTTTGGTGGAATTCAAAGACTGGGGAAACATTTGAGGACAAGAGATTGAGACTGAGACCCACCTGAACAAAGTAGTGAGACCCTTTATCTACAAAAATAAAGTTTTTTTTTTTTGACAGTTAACAAATAGCATTAAAAATAAAAAAGGATTTGTAGTTGAGGCATAGAATCTCCAATAACTTACTGTTTCAAAGCTGCCTTTATGCATCAAGTCAATGGGTGGCCGGAACAGATCTGCAAGGGTAGTTAGTTTCTTGTCTATTGCTCCTCCATTTCTTAATTCCTGTTCTTGTCGAACTGTGATATAGGATAAAAAAGTTTCAATTAGCCACAGAAGTCATGAATCTCATTAAAAAAAAGAAAAGCTTTTATGAACTGAAAAAAATCACTAAAAATACGCTTGACCTCAAATTTAAAGATGTAATGATGACTTTGAAAAAAAAATGCAAAAGGGAGTAGAAAATCTTAAGACTTGGCAGGGTTCCCTACCAAAAAGATAAAAGCAAAAAATTAAATTAATTAAAAATAGTCACGTCAGCCAGATGCAGTGGTTCACCCCTATGATCCTAAAACTTAGGAGGCCAAGGTAGGTGGATTCCTTGTGCTCAAGAATTCAAGACCAGCCTGAGCAAGAAGGAGACCTCATCTCTACTAAAAATAGAAAAACAAGCCAGGAGGAGTGGCGCATGCCTGTAATCCCACCTATTATAGTCCCACCTATTCAGGAGGCTGGATAAGAGGACTGCTCAAGCTCAAGAGTTTTGAGGTTGACTCGGCGCCTGTGGT